CCAAGATAATCAAGCATGAAAATGGACAACACTAATCACACTTGCACCCCTAGGGTATTCCACTTGTTGCCTTCAATAAATGGGCCATATTGCATGTTAGGTCTCTTTGGGCAAAACAAATACAATTCAAATGATCATAGTCCCTCGATGACGCTTTCGAAAAGTTGCCTAAAAAATGATCAAGTCCCTTAAAAGGAAATTGCCCAAAGATACTTGGCACCATTGCAATTATGGTCTAAACGATGACCCGCGCCCGTCCCTTTCACATCCTAACACAAGATTGTCCACCAAATGCAATGGTGGAACAAAATTGTTAAAAGGGTTAAAACATGACAAAGATCTTTGAGAACTTTAGGGTAGATAGCTCTTAAGTACTTGTCAACTTGCAAAACAAAAACACTTCCTATTTTTCAAACCACACTTCACAAACACTTTCAAAACAAACTTTCAAAAAACCTTGAAACATATTTTCAAAAAGACAAACACCTTTTGTAAAACATTCGAGTAAAGAATTGTTACAAGGGTAGCCTAGGCAAGGCATCTTTTTCAAAACATTTTCAAAACCATACACAAAGCACCATTTTCAAACAATTGAAAACCAAGGCAAGTTGATCTAAGCAAGTACCTAAGAGCCCATGGATAACCATGGATAGAAAGGGTGCTAATACCTTCCCTTTCTATAATCTACTCCCCGAACCCAAGAAAATATCTCAAAGGTTTTTGATGTGCTTTTTAAACCTTTCCTTAGGATAAAATAAAAAGTCGGTGGCGACTCTTGCTCAACCGAAACATTTGCGAAAACAAACGCAAAACCACAGTCAGTTCTCTCACCGTATCACATGTAGCAATGTCTTTTCAATGAAACATAGCAATGTTTAGACAATTTTTACTAAAACAATGTATATGAAAAGATACAAGGATTGTCATGAAAAGGTGTTACCAAAGGTTGCTGGAAAAATAAAAAATTTCAAAATTTTAGGCACAACAACCGATTGCATCAGAGCAACAATCGATTGCTGTATAGCAATGTTTCAAAAAATTGAAAATTATAACTAGGACAACCGATTGTCATTGAGGAGAAATCGGTTTCTCTAAAGCCAACGTTCAAAAAATTTGAAAATAAAACACATAACAATCGATTGCTGCTAGACGACAACCGATTGCATGTTAAACAGAATCAAATGTTTCTTGGATGCAACCGATTGTCATTTTATGACAATCGATTGCTTCAGTACAAAAATTGAAAAAAAATTATTTTTCAAAGATTTTAAACAATTTAAACTATCCTTCTTTAATCATACTTAGTGTATACTCAAAATATTATTTTAATAAATTAAATGCATGATTAAAAATAGTTTTGAGCACTAAGAGCATAAGATCAAAAATCTCATATACCTTAAGCCATAAGTCTTGAAATGTTGATCTTGATCAATGAATCTTTGCTTGAGATAAAACTTCTATCTTGATCCATTCATTTTTGCATGCTAGCTTGTCTTCATCAAAACATTTGGAAAGCTTGATTTCACACTACAGACTCTGAATGTCTTAGTGCAACAAGTGTTGTCAAGGAGAGTGAGATGTGGCATAGAATATTTGATCATCTGAATTTCAGAAGTTTAGGGCATCTTAAACCAAAGAATATGGTACATGGAATTCCTACAATCAAGAAGCCTCAAAAGTCATGCAAGTTGTGCATGGAAGGGAAGCAACCAAGATTACCATTTGCATCAGAAGTAGCTCCAAGAGAAAAACATGCCTTGGGAGTAGTACATTCTGATGGGTGCGGTCCGTTTCCAGTAGCATCGACTGGAGGGAATAAATATTTTGTGTCATTTGTTGATGAGTTCACCAGAATGACATGGATATCTCTCATAAAGTTCAAACACGAGGTGTTTGCTGAATTTAAGAAGTTAATACTGAAGGCTGAGAATCAGAGTGGCCAGACTCTGAAGATTCTTAGAACTGATGGTGGTGGTGAGTATAACTCCACAGAATTCTTAAGTTTCTGTGAGGAGAATGGAATTGAGCATGAGGTTACTGCTCCTTATACTCCTCAACACAATAGTCTTGCTGAAAGAAGAAATCATACTTTGTTGGATATGGTGAGAAGCATGCTGAAAGCGAAGAACCTTCCTCATACTCTGTGTGGAGAAGCTGTTGCAACTGCATGTTATGTGCTCAACAGATGTCCAACAAAGAAATTGAAGGAAATAGTTCATATTCAGAAGTGGACTAGAGATAAGCAAAGTGTTAGTCATCTGAAGGTGTTTGGTTATGTATTTTACAAACATGTCCCAAAAGCCAGAAGGCAGAAGTTGGATGATAGAAGTAAAGTGATGTTGTTGGTGGGGTACCACAGTACAGGTTCGTACAAACTTTATTGTCCAGAAACTAACAAGGTTGAGTTCAACAGAGACATCATTGTAGAGGAATCAGAAGTTTGGAATTGGGAAAGGTCTCGTCCTGAATCTGATGAGAGAACTTCTGAAGAAAAGTCAGAAACACATGTTTTTGAAGCTGGTAAAGACTCTGACTCCGAGGAAGATACAGAAGAAGAAGATGATTCTGACTCTGACTCCGATGGTGATCCAGACTCTGAAGACAGACAAAGTTTTGGAGAAAGTCCAATTTCTGAAGCAAGTACTTCTGAAGGGGAAAGTTCTGGTGTCCAAGGTTCTGAAGGTCCAGTTCAAAGGTAACAAAGAGTCAGAAGCATCCCAAGAAGATTTATAGAGTTTGACATGTTGTGAGACACTGAAGTAGACTCTGAAGAAGAAGTTATTCAGTGTTCAATGTTAGTAGACTTTGAACCCATGAGTACGAAAGAGGCTCTTAAGCAGAAAGTCTGGTTGTAGGCCATGAAAGAAGAACTTGATACTATAGAGAGAAACAAGACGTGGAAGCTGACAGAACTTCCAAAAGGAGAGAAAGCCATCAGTGTCAGATGAGTTTTCAAGCAGAAGTTGAAGCCAGATGGATCAATTGGAAAACACAAAGCAAGGTTAGTAGCAAGAGGCTTTCTACAGAAGCCTGGGCTGGATTACTCTGAAGTGTTTACACCTGTAGCGAGACATGAAACAATCATACTAGTGATTGCAATAGCTGCTAACAGGAATTGGCCTTTGATGTATTTAGATGTAAAATCTGCATTTCTGAATGGTCCATTACAAGAAGAGGTGTACGTTTCACAACCTCCTGGATTTGATAAAAAGAATCAGGAAGGAATGGTGTTCAAATTACACAAAGCCTTGTATGGATTGAAGCAAGCGCCCAGAGCTTGGAATCTGAAGATTAATTCTTTTTTCAAGGAACAAGGGTTTCAGAAGTGGGAGATGGAGTATGGTGTTTATGTTCAGCACACTTCAGAAGGTAATATAATTCTGGTATGTTTGTATGTTGATGACATATTACTCACAGGAAGTTCTGAACAAGAAATAGTTGAGTTCAAGACGGTTCTGATGAATGCGTTTGAGATGACAGATCTTGGGAAAATGAGTTTCTTTCTAGGGATGGAATTTATGTACTCTGAGAAAGGAATCATTTTGCATCAGATGAAGTATGAACTAGAGCTTCTGAAGAGATTTGAGCTAGAAAATTGCAAGGTTTCTATCACACCTATTGATACGAATCAGAAGTTGGACTCTGATTCTGATGGAGAGAATATGGATGCTACAACCTTCAAACAGATGGTTGATTCTCTAAGGTATTTGTGTAATATCAGACCTGATATTTGCTATGCAGTTGGAATGGTTAGCAGATTTATGAATAAACCAAAGTGATCTCATTATCGAGTTGTTGTCAGGATTCTGAGATATGTAAAGGGAACTCTGAAGTATGGAGTGTCATTTCCGTCTGGGAAAAAGATCGAATCAGAACTTCTGAGTTATTCAGACTCTGATTGATGCGAAGATATAGTTGACAGAAGAAGTACTTATGGATGCTTATTCAAATTTTTGGGAAATCCTATTTCTTGGTGTTCAAAGAAGCAACATGTTGTTGCTCTGTCAACCTGTGAGACTGAATATATTGCAGACGCTCTGACTGCATGTCAAGCTGTGTGGATTTTGAACTTGCTGCAAGATCTGAAGATTAAAGTAGACAAACCTCTGAAGCTGGTGATTGATAACAAGTCTGCAATCAATCTTGCCAAGAATCTGGTGTTGCATGGGAGAAGCAAGCATATTGAGACTAACTATCATTTTCTGAGGAATCAAGTTCAAAGCGGAATATTAAAAGTTGTGCACTGTAGATGTTCTAACAAAGGCTATTAAGACTGATCAATTTCTTCGTTTGAGGGATGGAATTGGTGTTGTCAGTTTTGAGTAAATATAAATTAAGGGATGGTGTTAGATTTAATTTATATTTTAGATATTAATTTATATTTAGAAATATCTTTTAGAGGATATTATTATATCTTTTTATATCTTTTTATATCTTTGTTAGAAGATATAATTTTGTGTATAAATAACCTAGTAGAGTAGGTTATTGTAATTCACTGTAAATCCTTATTTTGAAGCTGTCAATAAATATATTTTTTTTGTCTTTTATCTCTTCCTTGTACACCAACAGGAATGAGAGTGAATATCCTTATATATAGTCAGAGAATCAGAATAAAATAAAATAATAATATTTTATTGCCAAATTGAATAAAATGTCATGAAAACCATAAAAAAACATGTTGGTATTTAAGAGAGATGTAATTAGATGTTAGCCAATGTATCTTGTTTTTATATGTATAAAAATTCTTTTAGATGCCAAAATTTAAATAAATAAAAAATTATTCAAATTTCAAATTATTTTCAATAATTTTTTATAAAAATTATTTTTGCAATATATTTTTGCAATATATTTTTGAAATATTTTAACTGTGTTTTAAATTTGTCAAAATTTATCTCTTAATTTATAAAAAATAAATTAAAAAACTTTTATTGTTTAAAAAAATTCATAAAAATCAATACAAAAGAAAATCTTTTTTTTTTTTAAGTTAAAACAAATTGCCCTATATCTCTTACCATTCAAATATTTATATTGCTTTAAAACCATCCATTCAATATATCTCTTAAATCATGTGTTCACTATTCTCTTCTTCTTCTCTTTACGCCAACATTGCTGGGAGAACTGCTCCTCTTGCAACTACAAAACCAGCAGTCCAAAGGAGTTACTGGTCTTGAAGATGATCTCCATCTTCCTCCTTCGATTTTTCTCCCTTTATTGGGTCTTGGGGTGCCAAGCCAAAACCAGCCCCGGCATCAAGGACACCAGCAAAGCAAAAGGAAATTGTTTATTCCATCAACTTAAGTTACTTCACAAATTTGCAAACTATTGAAGTGAAAACAAATTAGGATGAAGTGGTGATCTTTTTTTCACAAGACATTGCTAAGTGACACCATTGGTTTCAAAACAATGTCAAACAACCTCCAGATTTTCTTCTAAAAAACCTGCTTTCTTGCATGGCTTGAGACATGTGTAACTCTTTACTGCTATACAAACAATGTCGAAAAAGAATTAAAGTACACTGGCATAAGGGACTCAGACAAGGGAGTGCGCTACAAAAAGCAAATGAGTGAAAATAAAGTAACCCTAAGAATGATTGATCACTGACTTGATCAATTACATATGGTGAATAATGAAATATATAGAGAATTTATCGCCGCATTCGATCAAACACAACCTCTATTGTTGTGTATGTATGTGTATTTACTTTCCAATGCCAAGTTCTTTTGAGATGTCTCTAGTCAAACTAAATTGCAAAGTGTTGTGCCATGGAAATAAGGTGCGGGTGACTGGAAGCTTCCTCCGAAGATCCTGCAATTAATTATAATCAAAAGGCTTCAAAAATCAACTATCGTAGTCTTAACAGAAATATGGGATGATATAATGGAGGGTACCTTGAAAGTAGAATCGGGAAGGTTTAGATATGAAGCCTGTCAAGTTATGGTCATTAGCAACGTTAACAAGAAAAAAAGAGAATTATCCTATCAGCAAGAAATCAAATTCAGAACCTCAAGAGAAGCAAGGTATTCTGTTTCATGGTGACGAATAATGCTTGATATGGCAAGCGCACAATCCTCAGGGGCCTGAAAAAAAAATGAAACATGAATAAATAATTGTTCTCTTTAATTCCATTTATATGGATACCTATAAATATATCTTATCATATACATACATTAAATTGCCAAAAATATATGGGTGAACAAATAACACGCTGACACATAAACACTTAATAAAATGAAAAATAAAAAAATAGTAACCTGAAAAAGAGTTGCATCTTTGCATTCATGTTTTGTATCTAACTGCACATTTCCCTCCTCAAAATAATGGGCACCGACCTAAAAATAGGATAAAAATGATTATGTTAACGAAAGGCTGTAACGTATATCATCCAAATCAATGCGTCAAATTCTACATAATATCACCTGGAGTTTCCCTTTTACTTCCACTGTTTGTTGTTCATCTTTGAAATCAATATTCCAAACTGAACACCAACTCCCATTACTATAAACAAAAGCCAAAGAAAAAGTATACCAACATTATTAATACATTTCCTTACTGTATAACTAGTAAAGTAGAAAGCAGTCATCAAGAACAGTTCAAACTTCATTCAACTAAACTCACACACCAGAAATTTTGTGGGCTATGCCTAGAAGCAGAAATCACTACGGCAAGCTCAAAATCAAAACCCGGTCCCTCTGCATCCTTTCCATTTACACAGTAGACAGAACAGACACCTTTTGGATAAACTTCTTCAACATATTTAAGTATCTCAGCATCCAGACTGAATCTGCAATAAACAAGTCCTGTGTTATGCAAGGAATAAAAGTGTGAGAAAGATATAGGCATGTGAAACTCAAGCTACTTTATTCAAGCGGTCAATATAGTTTTTTTTTTAATGAGAACGTATGTGCAGTACAGCCAAATGTTGCCTCCTTTTCTGTTAAAGTATTGATAAAAGGAACGTTTTTTTTCCAATTTACCTGTTGTTTAAAAGTTAAAAATTAATTATTGTATTCTGCAATTCAGTGTATCCTTATTTTAACCAAAAGAATTAATACAACAGAATTATGATGAAATTAAATATGAGAGAGAAAAGATATATTTAAAAATAAGCTGTTTTAATATAAATGAAAGCATTAATTATATTTCTTAATCTGGGTGAGACTCAGTCACTTAAAAGACACTTAAAAATTAACAAAGAGAGCAAATATATCAATGTAAGAGTCTCCGTCACGCTTCATGACCACAATAGGGTACACGTTCTCAATAGAACAATTGTCAGTAGGCAAGATTCATGATAGGACATTGTAACTAACCCCATCTAGTGGGAAAACTGAAAAGGCTTTGGTAGTGGTTGTTGTAGTGAAGAAGAATTTCCTTAATCAATACTGTAAACAATTTTAGAAGTCTGAGTTTATGCTGCTAAACATTGAGGATTAAGAAATTACTGACCAACAGAAAATAAGAAGTTTATTTGAAAAGCAAATAAATTCATTGAAATCTAACACGAAGCAGTGTATTTTACCCATCAACATAAAAAAAACACTGTGCAGCTTATTTCGGTAAAGAACTAAACTAACATCAAACAATCAGACATAAAACATTTCAACCATGCCACTTGCAGAATATTACCGAAATTCTTCAATGTATGCAGATGCAAGTTCTTCATCCAGTGCAGGTCTCACCACTTCACAAACCTGAAACATTTGTTACAGTCATAAGACAACTGAACACAGTACAACTCACCACAAATGCACTTGAGCCTACTTGTGACTAATGTCTTATTTGGCTATAATACCAAATTTTCATGTTTTGCTTTATCCCTTTACTTTCCAACTAATATTTCTTTTAATTTAAATGTTTGAACAGAAAACAGATGTTACACGTTCCAACAAGCAAATTCAATAAGCAGAAAATTTAACCTTATAATACTCTCTCCACATACAAATGCATTATATATAACCTTTGATTTGCACCACCTTTATTTTACGAAAAATGAATTAAAGAAATAAAAAAAGCAACAAGTATGACAAGGTTCCTTTTTATTTAACGCAACCCTCAAGAAAGCAAAGTTTAGTGGAACTGTGGTAGGTATATACAAAACTAACTTCTACATTTTAACCACACTTGTGTCCTAAAAAAGTTTTTTAAAAAATAGTCTAAGGGCCTGTTTGGGTTGACATATTTGAGTTTATCCACCGACATAAGGTTTTTGATACTATTTGGGAAAACTTTTGAAAACAACTTATGACACATGACATTTTTCATAAACTTTTTTCAGCATATTTTCGCAAATTCACCAAGATAACTTATAAAAACAGCTCGTAACATACACAAAAACAATCTAATTTAATTTTCTCTTTTGTTATAGAAATAGCTTATGTAAGCTTATACACAAACACTTATTCCGATAAGCGCTTTTGGTATAAGCTGCAAATAAGTTGTTTATCCAAACATTATTATTTTGGCCGATCAACTAAGGCTGATATAGAAAGAGAATGTAACTTAGTGCATGTTTGAATTCTGAAGGTTTTAAAACTACTGATTTTGGCATGTTTGGATGTTTTTCAAGTAGGATTGATTTTGCTTCTAAAATCGATTCTAACTTGAAGCTAGAATCTGTAACTTCAATCTCCAAATTGATTTTTACACTCAGTTATTATCCAACTCACTTTCACATGAATTTATCTCAACATAAATCATTTTACTCGAAACTCATTTTTAACTAAAATCAGTTCAATTCAATCAAATTCAATTTCCACCATAGAATCAAACACATACTTGTTTAACATGATCAACTATTGCTACTTGAGCAGTCCTAGGATCAAGAAACGCATTGTCCTCAAGCTCACCAAAGGAAGTAACTAGTACCTGCATGCAGGTTCCACAAATCAATGATCTGTGTTAATATAACCAAAAACTACACATTGATTCATCATTCATACATTCATACTTACACAACCACGATACCGATCCAAATAATCGAAAAACAATACAATTAAAAAAAAACACGAAACCCTAGAAATTAAAAAAAAGTTAGTTACAAGATGAGAGATAGAGAAAGTTAGTTACGTCTCCGCTTCGGTCCGGCATTGGAAGAACAATGAAGTGCGATTTGTTGTAAAGAGGAAACGCTTCGGAAGCAGCTTCGTTGAACACACCATCGTCGTTGAGAATGGATTTCACATCTGAAGAAAACACGATTAAACAAATTGAATTGTAAAAATAGAATAGAAATGAAAGGAGGAGAACCTTTGGCAACGTATTGAATTTCTCCAGGAGGAGAGTTGAGAAGAAACCATTTCGCGATTTCAACTTTTTGCTTCTCGCTGAGTTCTGATTCTTCTTCTTCTTCCGCCATTAAAACACTCTAGAGGAAATGGAAAAAAACAGAGTTATATTTAATTTATTTTATTTTATTTTTTTGTGTGAAAAAAATCAAAGTATGAATGGAACTGAAGAATGAAGATCTGGTATCGAAAATCGAAATCTTGAATATATTTTTGAACGGTGTGGATTAGAGAAGGTTTTTGTTTATTGTGAATCGAGACCGTTGAGAATGTGGGCTCCATTTAATGGGCCCGAGATGGATTAATAATTTATAATTATTATTATTATAATTAGTAATAAACTAGTTTATTCATCGGTTGTTGTGTATGTAGTGAGTGTGATCTGTAAAGTTTATGTTTGCCTGCCATGGAGTCCTACTTCTGTTTTGATCAAATTATTTTGGTCGACAATCACGCTTAATATTCTATTCTACTTTAGTGTTCAGTGAATCAATTGAGAGAACTCATAAATGTCTAAAATTTGGTTGGAAAATTATGAAATGAAATAAAAATATAGTTACATCATAGGATCTGGATTTTGTGCAAACAGATGTATATTGATCATTCAATTTTCAAAGTTTAGATAATGAAAATTGTGTCTTGGGGATTTGCTTTTTTTATTATTATATGTTCAAAATCAATACTTAAAATACTCTAGATTTTATTTGTGATCATATAATTATGGATACACAATATCCATAATAATGACTGATATTTGTCCACGGCCAAAAAAATAAATAAAAAGAATAATATTTATACGAAAATCTGTTAGAGATACAGTTAGACTTTTTCTTTTTCCAAAATAAAAGACACTCAAAAATAGTTTGTCACTTGAGAATATTTGAAAGAGATGATATAACCAATCAGAACTCACACAAGTAAACAACACATTGACATTAAATTCCTTGACAGATTTTTGTTTTCTGTTGTTGTAGATTTTCCAATTTGAAAAAAATAGTTTCTATATATGACCACTTGTGATTAAAAAGCGATGAATATTTTTTATTTTTATTTTTATTTTAAATTATAACCACATTAATTACAATTGAAACTTTAATATAAACTTTCAAAATTCCTTCTCTAAAATCATTTGAATTCCTTCGTAAGGATTTTTTGTATTATACAAAAATTTAAACTCTCAAAACTTCCCTTAATTTAAATTCTTTAATTCTTTTCATTTATCCTTTTCTTTTTCAAAACTGTCCAAGTTAGGAACCGTTGGGCAACTCCTCATCTGACCGTTGGAGTAAGTAGCTCACGATCCCACGACAGCCATCTTAAACTGTTTTTCGAAAATCACGGATTCAATCCTATTCTCACTGAGCAATTGATCAGGGAGAAGTCCACTTGTTGGACTCCATACACACGTAAGCCCTAACAATTCTTGTTATTGGACCTCAACGTGACCCAATAGTGGGAACATTGGTCCAGCGCTAAGTGCTATAAATACTCTCTCTCCTAAGAGGGTCAGATATTCAATTCAACACTTCTAACTCTTAACACTTGCTTGCTCATTCTGCAATTTACTTTGTCATCGAAGTGTCTTGCAGGTACCTCCATCACATTCAACTTCTGCTCGAGCTAACTGTAACGGTCCATTTCTGATTCGGTAAGATAAAAAACCATCCGCTTTTTTTTCTTTCAAATTAATATACGAAATCCAAAAAAAAATACAAATTATATTTGACAAAAAAAAAAAGAAAAAAGAAAAACACAAATTTGAAGGGTGTCTGCCCTCTTAGTCAAGGAAGTAAATTCTATATCTTAGTCAAGAAGGAATTTTATAACTTAAAAGCGTCCGTTTAGATCACTCCACATGTCCACCAATAAATTAAAAAAGTATAGAAAAGACCGATGAACAAAAGAAATGATACAAAAAATTAATCGTGTTTTCTATTAAAGTGTGAATCACAACCTTTTATTTTAATTTCTATTAAAGTAATCTATTTGGATGGTTATGATATACTAATGATGTAGTAAACTTTTTCAATGACAATGCATACTAATTAATCTCTTATGCAAATGTTAAAGATTTTATTAAATGGTACTATTCAAAAAAATATTAGTATTGGAGTATATAGTAGTTTTTGGTCGGCTTTTGTAATATTCAGGTAATATTAAAAAAATATCTGATTGATAATTTTTTTCAAGAAACTAAGACAAAAAAATGCATTTCAGAGAGAGGTAATCATAGTAACTAAAATAAAATAAAAGAAGACCAGAAATATATTAAGCCTAGAAGTAAAACATCACTTATTTCCTAAGCCAGTGACCAATGCAACTTTTTCATGGTTTCATCGCATCGGGGACCAAGTGCCACCATGTGATTCTATACTGCCTGCCACTCAGTAATCATTATCAAACAGCTAAACTGATCAATTACCTATTTTAGTTACAAATTCTAATCAACTCCACTATGTTCAACTGTTTATCTAACAAAATTTACACAATCTACAGACTGTAATTCCACTGCATCAATACATGAGCATCGAAACACTGTTTCCATGCATTTAAGGGACGTGTCTCTCTGAAGCCAGCAGAGTCCTTAGTTTCATTGTTATTCATAAATATTCCTCTGGCAGCAAAAGACATTAGTTCCATCTGGTTCATATAACCACGCATCCTGTATGAGAATCCGACTTTCTTACTATGAGACTGCTGATGCTGTTCAGAAACATCTGCATCTAGGAGGACAACTGCTTCTTGTGTCTGCATGGAATCATCATTGGCAGAAGATATAAAGTTATCCATTCCAAATAATTCCCAATCAACCTGCTGCAAGATTCCAGATGCCCGTTCCATGCTGCATGGGGAGTGGTTTTTTAACCGCATTTCTGTTTCCATTGCTATACTGTCGACCTGGGCCTTCAGTTCATGCAACCGATCACCGATTCTTGCCGCTACTGCATCATACAGCCTTTTTCTTGGCACATCCGGGCCTTTCTCCATGTTGAGTATATCGTCAAAATTGATAGGATCACCTACGATTACAGTAACCTAAACAATCCAAGCATGTCAAAACAAAAAGACTTAAGCTGAAAATAGAATCAAAATTAATCAATCACATAAATAAATATAAGCGACGCCATGCAGAATCTGAATTCAATCAGGACTAAAGTGAACATTTTGTTCTTTGAAAAGCAGATCCAAAACTAAGGGACAAAGAGAGCGGCATTCCACTAAAAGCTAGAAATCTAGCACCATCCAATATTTCAAACTTTGGAAGGTTCGTAGACTGACAAAGGCTGTATTATTTCATTGATTCCCTATGTAGTGATGGAATTGTTTAAAAAACGGGTCAAAAGTACGTACCCTCTTTCCAATTCTCGGAATGCTGGCACCTATTGGCATAATCTCCTGCATCCCTGTATGTACAAACGGGATAACAATAGGCATGCTATCTCCATCCAGGATAAACCTGAAGGGGAAATTTACATTAGGAAATTTGTATTGTTCCATTGGAATATCAAATAGTAGAAACAAAGAAAAGTAAAAGTGAAAAATAAGATATATTTTAGAAATTAATCAATCTAAAGTTATTTTGTACTGGTAAGTTACCATCACATTATGCCTGCAGCATATATACATATATACATAAATAAATCTTATCCAATCTAATATGCTGACAACAACACAGTATTAAAATAAAATGTGATGTAAAATAATACGAATATATCCTTAATATTTTCTCCACAAGAATAGGTCTCATAATTTTTATGATACTGAATCAAATTGAAATCATCATACATAGGCCAAAAAATAAAAGTCCGAAAACCAAAATTAAAACTTTCAACAGAAAATCAACAAACTGTGCATATCAATATAGATCAAAACTTTGAAAAGGTTCAAGTTCATTGAGTTATTTGTTCCATCAACTTACTCCTTGAGCTAACGTTATTTAAGAAAATAACAATTGTCAGCAAGTTTTGCTAATCCAGATACAATCTACTTCATTTTCAGAATTTATCAGAACTGTAACAGCATAAGATATGTTTGCATTTACATATGTTGGCATTTACATATATGGTAAAGATAGGGAATATAAGGGAGGGTGGCTTGCGGGTTGGTTTGGGGGAGTTATGAAGTGGGGTGATAAAGAGGCCGAGGGTTTGATCCCCACCCCCAACATATAGGCCAAAACTAATAAATTTTGCCATCTGAATTTAGAAATGGAACAATTTCAACCCTTAGTAGAGAACAAACAATGTCTTCAGTCAACAATTTAATAATGATACTCTAAAGAATAAGGAAATAATTTTGCTATGAAACACAAATTTTAAGAACTAATAACTACCATGACATGGAATGGGCAAATTTCCTGTTAGTATTCTATTTCAAAATACTGTAGAAGATTGTTAGTTGTTACCTGGCAACACCTCTCTTGCAAGAACCCATGGTTTTTCCACCGTCCCGGGAGCGACTACCTTCTGGGAATATGTGGACCCAACCACCATTGTTCAATTTAGAAAGAGCCATATCCATTCCCTACAGCAGAGATTAAGTAGATGAAATTAAAGTAACATATATGTAGACAAGTTTCACATTGGAGGAATTGAAACCATATGTTCTTTTTCATATCCATACAATAAAATGTTTGCCTTCCTTACTCACAAATCAACATTACATTCTCCCTTATTTGTTAATTTTTTATTTTTCCAGGTTAAATTTCCATTGGACGGGTTGCTAACATTCTTTTCTATTTTGAACAGGTGATTTCCATTAGTTTGGCTAGATCAGAGGAAAGCAAGAGACAAAGGGGAATAATTCAACTGATACAAAATGAGATGAAGAGAATTATTCAACTGATACAAAATGAGAGGAAGGCTTTTGTTTGATGCTACTACAGAAAGCAGTGCCCCAAGGATAGTTGGGGTATGAAGGACTTAAAAAAAACATTTCCAGGACAGAACAGGAAGATAAATTCAAGTCATAGCATGGTAATAAAAGCAAATTTTTTTGAGGTTTTCTCCAAAACAGTGTTATTAATAGCAGATCACCATATGAGAAATAGCGGATACCGTAGTGGAAGCCG